GCCACAGGTGTTCCTCTAGAAGGGGCCACATATGTACTTATTTGGACTCACTTGCTCTAAGTTCCAGCACTGGGGCAACAGCTGAAAAAGCACCAGGGACGTATAGGGGGAAACCGAATTGTCTGGCTGGCATCAGGGCAAGAACTGAAGGGGCAGCTTTCTCCCATACAGAAATGCTGGCAGAGGGCATTGTTCCCTTGCTGAGCCCTATCCTCACTAAGCAGGTAGACGGGCATGAAATCTGAGTTTCCATCATTCTAGCTAACACTGTTCACCCAGCTCTGGTGATTCCCTGAGACCCCACCCCATGCAACTTGCAGGCTCACCCAAGCCGTTTCCAGTGGCTTTTCCATACAAATGACCTCTCTTGGCTCATGCTTTGGATTTTCCTAAAATCTCTTACAACAAACAAAAAAACAAACAAACAAGCAAAAACCAGCATCTGACCTCTGTGTACCCCATATGTCTTGCTCAGTGGCCTCAGGTCTGGCACTAGTGGCAGCTAGTCTTTTCCCACAGCTTGACCTCTCCTGGGTACCTTCAAGCCCAGCACAAATAGCAGCCATTTTCATATTGCTCTGTAGCTCATGCTGGGTGGCCCTGGGCTGAACACAAGTGGTGGCTGTGCACCTCCTGGGAGGCCCCAGAGCCAGTGCATCTGGTGGACAGCTTCAGACCATGCCAGATTACAATCCAACCACCTCCACAAGCCACACCTAAAGGGGCAGATTTGGTGGGCACCAAAGCCCCATTGAAGCAAGTCATGTTCCATGGGGTCAGACTCTGAAAAGCAGTCCCTTTGCTGCAGTAACAGCTAGTCCCCGCCGCAAATCAGCCTGGGGGTTCAATTGCTCCCAGGAACATGCAAACAGCAATCAAGGCTTAACTACAACAGGATGGTGCACACAGGGGGTACACCCAAAGTACCCAGTTCAGTGACTGGGGAGGCTGCATCACTGAGCCCTACACAACACCTACTACTTAAGACCATTCTACCAAGTCCAGGAGATGTAGCAGATCTACCTAATATGTAGAATACAAGGAAGCAGTGAAATGAGTAGACAAAGAAACATGTTCCAAATAAAAGAATAGGAGAAATCTTCAGGATAAGAATTAAATAAAATGGAGGCAAGCAAACCATCAGATACAAAGTTAAAAACAATCGATATAAGAATGCTTAAGAAACTTTATGAGAACTTCAACAGCTTAAAAAAGGGACATGAAAATGAAAACTAAATAACCGGTATTTTACAGTAAAGCAGATAACGCAGAGAACCAAATTAGTGATTTGGAATATAAGGAAGCAGAAAACAATCAGAACAGCAAAAAGAAAAAAGAATCCAAAAAATGAGACTAGTGTAAGGAGCCTCTTGGACAACTTCAAACATTACTGACATTTATAGCATTGGGATGCCAGAATGAGTAGAGAGAGAGAGCAAGAAATTGAAAACTTACCTGAAAAAAAAATGACAGAAAACTTTCCTTATTTGGTGAAAGAAATAGACATACAAGACCAGGCAGCACAGAGAGTACCATAAAATATACATCCAAAGAGGCCCACACCAAGACACATAATTAAAATGCCAAAGGTTAAAGATAAAGAGAAAATCTTAAAAGCAACAAGAGAAAAGCAGTTAGTTACTTATAGGGAGCTCCCATAAGACTGTCAGCTGATTTCTCCAAAGAAACTATGCAGGCCAGAGGGATTGGCTTAAAATGGTCAAAGTGATGAAAAGCAAGTACCTACAACCAAGATTACTCTCCCCAGAAAAACTGTGATTTATAATTGAGGGACAGATAAAGAGCTTCCCAGACAAGAAAAGCTAAAGAAGTTCATCACTATCAAACCAGTACTACCAGAAATTTTAAAGGGTCTTCTTTAAGGAGAAAAAGGAAAAAAAAAACACCTAAAAATATAAATAATAAAATGTCAATAAACTCATGTCTTATCAAAACTACTTAAAATGTAAATATATTAAATGCTCCAATTAAAAGACATATTATGGTAGCTTAATGGATAACAAAATAAGACCCTTATAGAGATACACTTCAGATTGAAAGATACACACAGTCTAAATATAAAGGGATGGAAAAGGATATTTCATGAAAATGTAAACAAAAAGCTGGGTGACAATACTTGTACCAGACACAATAAGTTTTACCAAGGTTATAACCCAGTGGTTCTCAACCTTCTGGCCCTTTAAGTACAGTTCCTCATGTTGTGACCCAACCATAAAATTATTTTTGTTGCTACTTCATCACTGTAATGTTGCTACTGTTATGAATCATAATGTAAATATCTGATATGCAGGATGGTCTTAGGCAACCCCTGTGAAAGGGTCGTTCGACCGCCAAAGGGGTCGCGACCCACACGTTGAGAACCGCTGCTATAACCAGAGACAAATGAGGATTACCCAGCAACTCCACTTCTGGGTATTGATTTAAAGAAACCCAAAACACAGAATCGAAAAGACATATACATCCGAATGTTGATTGCAGCATTATTTACAATAGCCAAGATATGGAAGGGACCTAAGTGTCCATCACTACATGAATGGATAAGGAAGTGGTACATACACACAATGGATTATGACTCAGCCCTAAAAAATACTGAAATATTGCTATGAGCAACAATGGCCCTAGAGGGAATTGTGCTGAATGTAATAAGTCAGAGAAAGACAAATGTCAGATGATTTCAATCACATGTGGAATCTAAGAACAAAATAATCAAACGAGAGAACAGAAGCAGACTCATAGATACAAAGGACAATCTGACGGTTGCCAGGTGGAAGAGGGGTTGGGGGATGGGTGAAAAAGGTGAAGGAATTTAGAAGTACAAATCGGTAGGTAAAGAATACTTATAAGAATGTACAGTACAGTATAGGGAACATAGTAATATTGTAATAATTACTAGTACATATTGTGTCAGATGAGCATTTGATTTATCACGGTGATCACTTCATAAGCTATATAAATGTAGAATCACAGGGTTATACACCTGAAACTAATATAATATTGTATGTCAATTGTAATATAATTTTTTTAAAAAAAATTAAAGTAAGATGAGCAGAAACACCATGCATTTATTTTAAAATCTTTACATAGTATAACTTACTTTTTGAAGGAACTCGGAGATTGGCGAGGACCACTTCCAGGGAATCAGCTTGGACTCGAAGTACATAGCTTGTCCTTGTTTCATAGTCCAGAAGGTCGTTCACATAGATAACACCCGTGACGTTATTAATTCCAAACTTACCTAGAATTAAAATGTAATTTCTTGGTCATTTTCCTCAAACTTCAAGTAAAAACAATTCTTAAAAGGCACTGTGAGTTCAAAACACATTTTTAGTAGTAGTGCATATAGGGATAAGAATCTGGCTTTTGGAAACTATGTTTCAGCTCTTTGGAAACGTATGTTCCAGAAATTATAAACATCAGTGTTACCCTAATCGCAGGCCTTGAAAATCTATTTTTTCTGAGATTCTCCTTGAAATCAATGTTTCTGTGATCAGTTGCATTTGGGAGCAATGCATAATATACCCCTCACCCTAGATTCAGATGGTCTTCTACCATACTAAAGACTTAGAAATTCTGTTTTGAAGAAACCCATTTCATTTTGTGTAGCCAACTATTTTATTATCTTATTAAATTATTATACTTTTTATGATTTAATGCATCTTATTATCCTGTAGATTCAGTGTCCTGCTAAGGACACTTTAGGGAAAAAATGGTGATTATTTAGAAAATATGGTTTCTTATTTTAAATAGCTTCAAATACTTTGCTCTGATGTCCATTTATTCAATGAATTTTCCCATTTAATATATATTTGAAGGAAGAGCAGGGCACTTTGGTAAATTGTAAACTATCTCACCTCTTGCACTCATGTTATATTTTTCTCTTTAGTTTTCTCCATAGTATTTATTACTGCCTAAATACTGTATACTTATCAGTTTAGTAATTTGTACGAGGGCAAGGATCTGCTTTTTTTATTCACTGCTCTATCCCTCGTGGTTGGAAGATCACTTAGTATCTAATAGGTGCTCAATAAATACTTGTTAAATAAAACAATAAATATATGTTGAATAAATTAATAAATCAATACATTATAACAATAGTCATTGTGGGGTAAGAAGGGTAATAAGTAGAATCCCTCTGCTTTTTTCAAGGAAGAGAACTGATAGAATCACAGAAAGAAGTATCAGAATAGACTGAGAAATCACAGTTCAGTCAGATGCTGGAAGTTCAAGGGAAAAGGAATTAGTTAGGTTTAGGCGGGAGGCATAGCGGTAGAAACAAAGAAGAAAACAATAAGAAAAGTGTGATGTTGAGCACTGCTTTAGGGGCAGCGATTTCCTGTAATGGTTGGTTGTTGGAACACTTGGAAAAGGCCTTTACAATTTTTGTGCAAGCTGCACAAAAATTCATCAACATTAATTCATTAATTTCATATTTTAATAATTCATTAATTTCATATTTATTCTTCATGCTTTTATTAAATATGTATTAACCGTTTTGGCTACTTATAATATGCCAGGCCATACAGTTCATCAAAAGGGAAAAGCAGAGGACAACCAACTTGTGGATAGCAGTGACACAAAGAATGGGTGACAAAG